GTGCTTAGCGCTAAGCAGAGCCTGGAAATCACAAGGACTCCTGCACACTCTGTTTCTGTTCAAAGATCTCATCCCATTGTCTAGCCTCAGTTCATAATTACACAGAATAAAAATTTAAAACACATACATTTTATTACACAAGCACAGAGGATAAGGGAACAGGAATGTCTGCAGGAGACACAAGTGAGGAACAATTTGCTTCCATTAAGCTTCGTCTCTATAATTAAAACATTTTCAATGAATATTATTTCTTTAAAATATTTTTAAAATCGCCAAATTTATGAATATACACACGCGCGCTCTTTGAGAGGGTGCAATACACACCAGCAGGGTCCTCTGAACGCTCAACCTGAGAAGTGCGCCGGCCACAGGCCCCACGCGAGGCTCCGCAGGACACAGAGCAGCGGCCTCGTAAGCACAGTCCGTGGCCTGCACTCAGCACTGTCGCTCCTTCAGGGAAGGGGACAGATGTATCAGTCCCTCCACCAAGTTCTTTCAGGTTTCCAACTTAAAGCTTCTGAGACAGAGCAGAGCCAGCCTGAAGACAGGCTGCATGTGTGCGTGTCGGGGCTCACAGGCGCGCGAGGAAGGGGCACCCGGGAGCCGAGGCCCAGCCGCGACGGCGCAGGCTGTCCCGTGCCTTCCGGGGCTCAAATGCGGCCACAGTGTGACTTCCATTGACCGAAGACTATCAGTAAGCTTTAGGGAAGTAAAGCAGCTATTTTTTTTTTTTTTTAAATCATCCACCCACCCATCCATCCAACATCCACCCATCCATACACCATCCAAATGTCTTCCTTCCGTTATCCTACCTAGCCCTTCCATCCATCCACCCATCCATCCACCATCCAAAAAAATAGAGACGAAGCTTTATTGAATTTAATTCTAATTCCTTCCAATCACATCAAAACATCATGGCTATTTCTGATTTACAGGTTAAACTAGGGGAATGTCTACAAATAAGAGTCTTCCACTGAAAGATGTGGAGTATAATTTTACAATCATATCACTTTTTCAGTGCCATGAAAATGAAGTAATACTCATAAAACTATCGTCACTTAAGAATTAATTACAACTTAGAAATCCTCAGTTTATGACAGAAACAAATGTTTAGAAAATGAAAGTTATACCTAAATTTGACAAATGTAAGTGGATTTTACTCAGTTTTCAAGTTCAGGGTCTTTCTTAAGCTAATAAATGATTAGCAGATTTCTAAAGACAACAAAAACACCCCCCCAAAAATCCACTTGTTCCTAGTTGCTTCCTGTTTCTGGAAATTAGTTTACAATTGATTGGAGACAGATAAGGTGCGGATCATGAGGTCGAAGCACGTGAAACTGCTGTTATAGAAGACAAACTGTCAAGTATCAGCAATTTCATTTGGGTTCGTCTAATGCATGGGCATTAGCAGTGCTCAGCAGGCTACTATGGTAAAGAACTTGAAGGAGACAGCCCGTGGTTCGAACCCCAGCTTCACGACCCTGAGCAAGTTATTTTACTATTCTGTAAAAAATCAGCTTCTCTTCTGTAAAACCGGGATTCTAAGGGTACCTAGTTTCTACCTGGAATGCCTGCTATGGGGTATGATGAGAGGGTCCATTCAAAGCCTTTTGCCCATGCTAAAGCCACTGGAGTGAGGCTTGGTAACGCTCATTAATGTCCATAGTGCACGTTTCTATCTCTAAAATGCGGCTGGTTACACCCTGTTGGGAGGGTGAGACAATGTGAGAGCTGGTTACCTGGTAACTGAGTATTATTCCTGGATATAAAGGAGTAAGTGTCTGAACCTGCCAATGACCAAATAACCCTGGGCAAGTTTTTCATACCCAGTCTAGTACACTCTCTGTGAAATGGGCGAGTTCTCTCTGGAAGAGCACCAGCCCAGCAACCTCGCAGATTCTCCTGAAGGCTGGCTGATGTAACTTCCCGGGAGGTGCCCTGGAAACTAGATGGAGCGGTAAGGGAAGGCGGTGGCATTACTCAAACGCTCCAGCATCCCTCGCAGTCCACAGGGCTGCGACCTGTATAGAAGAGCTTCTACCTAGTGGTTTTCTCACTGCAGAGGGTTAGACTTTCCTTTGCGGGTCTGTCTTCCCCCCCACATATTTTATAAAACAATTTGAATTAGTGACCAACATTTAAAAACTGAATGCTTCAGATTATGCACTCCCCCTGTTGGCCACAGTTGCCAGGACTCTCCAAGGGCCTCAGCCCACTCTATTCACTCTCCCTCTACCTGCCTAGCCCCCTCCCTCCCCACTGGTTCACATCTCCTCCCTTCCAGTCAACTCTCCACCCTGCCAGTAGTTGGCACTCTGTTCATAAATAGCCAGGCGAGGCGGAGCCAAGGCAGAAAAACAGACCTCACAGAGTATGCACAAGAGACTGCCTGGGAAGAATATATGGGTCACTTAATGGTATTAAATAAAAATCATGTGAAGAATTATAAATGATTAAAAAATTAATTTGGGTCATCACTTGGCAGGCTGCACATTTCTAGGAGACGGGAGCTTGTCTCCCCTCCGCCCCCACCTTCGCCAACATACACTTCCGAGGTGGCCGGGCTCCCTCCCAAGTGGGAGTGTGTGTGTCTCTGTGGCTATTTTCAGAACTGGCTCTCCAATAAAACTCCACAGGGATGGCAGCTGGAGGGGGGCAGGCAGGGCCCCTGGAAGAAGCAGTCACTGCTGGCCATAA